AGTAGCGATTTAGTGGTTGGAGCAGTACAGCCTCTCTTGGAGGAACGCTCGTCAACCAAGGCGCAATTGTTTGCACGGTGTTTATTTTCTGTTCTCGGCCCATCTTGTGTTCCACTGGGGCTGTGACAACCCCTTTCTATGCCTTATGTCAATTGCTCGCTGAAGGGAGCATTCCCACTGTAGGACTGGACCATCATCATCAAAATCGCCGACCAGTTTGTATACGGATGAGCGCACCCTGGCGAAAAAGCGGGGGTAGCCGGCTGACGGCGAACTCGCCATCGTTCACGGCTTTTGTTTTTGTCAGCAGAGCAGGGCGGGTCGCTCCGAGCGATTCCCAAAATGAGGACCAACCCATCCTCGGGCAGAGAATTGGCGAATGTTTCCCTTGGGTTCCGCTTTGCCAGGTTTCCAGTCTTCTTTCTTTCCAGGCCTTTGGAATACGGTGAATGGGCGAAATCTATTTCGCACCACTTTGAAGCCCTGGTTGAAACCACAACATTTGTTGATTTTGTTCGTTGGGGAATCGAATCAGAAACCGTTGGGCTTCTGCTTTCGGTGGTGCGAGAATCGGATTTCGCCTTCCCATCCACAGTAGTCTCATTGGATGTTTCGATCTTCCTAGCCCTGAACGAACCCTGGGAATCTGTTCTGACCTTCTTTCCTCATGGCCCAGGGTGAATAAGAATGGAACCCCCAATCGCGCGACCTAGACAAGTTCTACTCACTCCCTGAGTTCATGGACTAAAGAGTCTCTTTTTGGGTTGGAGTATTTTAGTGGTAAGCAGAAGTGTTCGGTCTACTCGATCGGACGTGAGTCTAAGTGGGCTCCGGAGCTCTGGCGATTTTCGAGCGCCCGCTGAAGCTCAGGTGAAAAGCTGCCTTGCACGGTGTGCGAGATTTCTCCTTGGCGGCGTGGCTAAATGCCGTCGATATATTTCTGAATGCGAGCCGGGGCGCCAAAATTGTGAAGGCACAACAAGCGAAAGAGAAACGAACGCTACAATGAGAAGCACCCAGTTGGCAATTTTGAAGGGTGGAAAGTTCCACTACTTGGTTTAATAGGGATTATTGTACGGAACCCTTATGTTTATTAGCATGTAATTTAACCCGAAGGATGGGTTTTGGTTTCTGCTCAAATGGATCTTTAAGAGGGAATGCTAAGGGATCTGGTTTTCTTCAACAGTTTTCCTTAGAGGGTATCCGCATCACTTTCAGGATTGCTCTAAACCTTGCACTGACCAACCCATCTTTGTGTAAAGCTTTGTTCTTGCGTTTCTTTATTATCTTCCATTTGCTTAAAATACGTTCATTTCATTGTCCCTTGTTGGTCTCTATGGGAATCTATCACTACTGGACATACGTTATTTTTCCCCCTCCAGTGGGCGAGAAAGCAAATGGAAGCTATGGAACCCAAGAAAAAAAATGTGCGTTTTGGGGACTTAAAGCGCGACCTCGCAAGCGGCTTCGGTTTGCATGCGAAGAAGCAACTGGAAGCTATCATTGTTGTTATTCGGCTTTGCCACTTTGAGAGTCCTGTGTCTTATTTGTCTTATTGGCCTGCCACCCCGGCCTGTACTGGTTTCATGTTTGTGCATCGGCCGGCGCAGCGGCGAAGCGAAGGGCGTGGCTTAGCCCTGCTGGCAGCTCCCAGGAAGGAGGACCGGGGGCTCATGGGGGGTTCATGCCAGGCTTCAAACACGGGGGTTTCATGCCTTGGTGGCTCGCCATGCGGTTCCTTAGCCTTTTTGGCCTTTTAGTGTTTCGTGGTAGTTTCCATTTAAGCCACGAGAAGTGGAGCTTTCCGCGGGGGATCGGTTTCAGCCGCCCAGATGGAGCAAAGTCGGAGAGTCGAGCCGTCCAGGCTCTCTTTCTATCCTTTGAAACGCGGGGAGCTGCCAGAAAGTATCAGCCCTCCAGAAAACTCGGGATGCGGTTTGCCTGGTCGCGGATGGCACAAGGTGAACTTCTCCGATCTGACGTTGCAGGAATAAGCCATTCAGTCGGCAGTGTCCCAAGGCTGCGATCTCCTCCGAAATACTTGTATGGGCATGGGTCAAAATTCAACCACTAGGGGACCGCTGGTTTAGTGTTTGTGTCCACTTACCAGGGTTCCATTTTAGGCAAACATTTTTGACCCACAGCCATAGAGGAGTCTTGGGCAGACAAAGCAAGACAAAGGAATAGTAGAACAGAGTCAGAACATGTGGGACATATGATTTCTTTGCATTCAAATATGTTGGCCAAGAAGATGCAGATCACTGCCAGTAAAAATCAGGAAGGACCCTTGCCTGGGTCCAATCTCCTTTATTATTTCTTTCATCAATCTCATTTTGTTTTTGAGATATTTCACTTGTACATCCAGAAGTTATGACGCTATCAGCTGCTTAAGAAGCGACCAGACAGCCGCGTCTGCTTTGGCTGGGAAGGCCAAAGGGGGCATCGCTTCGCACCTCGCCCGGCTGTCGGTTTCTGCTGGACCCAGCGCGGCGGCCGAACACGGCCGCCCTTTCCGGAGCCCCGAGAGCGAAGCGGGGCGTGTGTCGAATCCCGAGCCCTTAAAGTCTGGGATGTTTGATGATTTCACGCTACATTTCTGAGGTTCCCTAAATATGAACCAGAATCAAACATTCGGTTTTTGGTCGGCAGCTTTTTTAGAATGGGTTCACGTGGGTTTTTTTTGCGTTGTCTGCACCGATATATGTACATGTGTCTACCAGTAGTTTATGGTCCAATTGGGAGGGACACCAGCGGGCTCGCTAATTTGTCCATGTCTTGTTTGGGAAACAACCAAACTTGACAGGGGCTCATGCGTGTACTTCACATATATGCTACCGCCCCTTGTTGTTCTTGATTTGACGCACATCATACTTTTGACATATGCTATTTTTGGACACCTCATGTCCAGATCCTTCGGGAAACATCTGAGCATATGAGCATCGGCGCTCCGGGGCTGGTTTGAGCTGCTTGAGTACAACGAGACGGCAACTTTGAGGCGAGAAAATGTGCCGCTGGCGCTGCGTGCCCCCCCCTGGGGCTTTACTTTGGCTTCCCTTTGATACAACGGGAAAGCTCAAAAAGGACGCGCCCCTCTCTCAGAGGAATACGGTTTTTTTCGGCATTTTCGGGGTCCCCATTTTTTTATTTTTTTATTTTTAACTTTAACTGGGCTGCTCAAACTGATGCTAAGAGTGAATATCTTTTAGTTGGCGCCATTTTCGGGGGTCCCCTTAACTGGGCTGCCCTCGTGACGCCTGTCTTGTTGACCTTAACGCCCATAGGCGTCCTTTTGGACAATAGTTGGATTTCCCTGGTAATGGTCCTAGGTCCTCCAGATTTGAGAGGTTAGAATAAGTTGGTACCAACTTTTCTCAGGACGTCTGTTTTGGTAGGGGAACCCTCCCCCCAAAAAGTTGGCAAAAGGGCACTACTGGGGGACCTAGCAGAGGAAAACCGTTGGCGCCATGTTGGGCGTCTGTTGGCAACATGGCGAATTTCCCCCGTCAAAGTCGAGCCATACCGATCATGTAGGACACAGAGCCCAAGGCTTTGCGAGAGTTGGCATCTATGGTATGGCCGGAGGCCGATCGCCTTCTTAGGCGACCTCCCGTGGCTGAAGTTTGTTCGTTTTTGTCCACATGTGGAGGGACTCGGGGTGTGGCTGCGCCCCCTTCCAAAAATCCGGAGGTCTGATCTAGAGGCGAGAGGCTGCCAGACATGCGCCTGGATTGAGCCTTTGAGCTTGGTGTTGACGGGCGTCTTCATGAACTTTAGTGAAGTCCACAAAGATGTGGCTGGCTTTTTGTTGATGATTTGTCTGCATTTCTTTCAGTTTTTGCTGACGTCGTTGAATGTTGCAATTCTGGGGTTTGGGTTTTTGCTGAAGTCGCTGAACGTTTCTGCCCTTAGTATTTCAGTTTTGTTGAAGTCGTTGAACCTGACACCGCTATTGTTGGGGTTTGGGGGTGCAATGGCTTCGGCAATGACGTTCCGAGTGCAACGCCTTGGCCCGAAATTTCGAATGCGGGGAACAGGGCAGGGGATGATGTGACGGGACGATCAAACGAATGTTAACCCCGGATGAAGCGGAACCCTTGCCTTGGCGATTAATCCCCAGGGTTTTCCTGGCTTTTAAACCTGGCGATCACAAGGCGATTAACACAAAAGAGATTACCCCCGGATTAAGCAAATACAACCGGATTATCACGAATGCCTTTGAGATATCGCACAGTGTCTGTTCGATGCAGTGATTTATTGGGGGGGGGGGGGGGACGAAGGAGAAGGCCCCAAAGACAAACAAGTCAGTGCGTCTGTAAAACCCCGGTTGATTGGGGGGCCCCCTTTTGGTGGGGATTCAGACCACTTTTGTGGAGGGAACACCCCCGCCTAATAATGGAACGGATCTATTAATCCTGGGTCAACATTAGGGAGCCTCGAATCGAAGAGACCTCTAGGAGTACTTCTTGTACGCAAGTCGAAGGCATTCGCGGGCGGTGAGGACTGTTGTGGCACGCGTTGTGAGAATACTCTGTCCAAGCCTTGAGCCCAAGCAGTGGATGATCGCAAATGAGTGGAATTCTGAACCCGAAAATAAGAAGCAACACACACACCAACTTAATTAGAACTAGCACTTGTTTTGACTGAGCCCACGCTTTCGGGGCTAGCAGCTTTCAGTCGCTGTGCTGTTTTTTTTTGTCCGCAAAGCGGATATGTGTCAGAAAAGAAATTCGAACCCCCAAAATGGCTTCGGTGTTCCTTTTGGATTCCCTTTGTTCACCAAGCTGACAAGAGTAACAACGGAGCCTCAACATGTTCTTGCCAGGCCAATGATGCAGTCTCCCACATGTGGCAGCTTCTACCCGCTGCTCTCAGGAATGTGAGCCTCCTTTTGGTTGGTGGAAGCCAAAAGGAAACTTCCCATTTCAGGGCACCGATTCCTATTTTGAGGCAAACCCAAGTCCCTTTGAACAAACCCCAACTCCCCAAGTATCCCGAGAGTGCCCCTTTTGGGCACCGACCCCCCCAGTCCTCGTACGACGGCGTGCGACGTATGGTCGCGCCTTCTGGAGCGCTCCATGTGCCGCGATGACTCGGTCGCTGGTCGGCAGTAGGGGTTGAAGGGAAGGGAGCAGCGCGATCCCTGAGGGACATTTGGTTACTTGGTGGTTTCCAGGCATGCGGTTCCTTAGCTTTTAGTTGCTTGTTGTTTTTAGATCATGGAAGCTGACAAGAGGGCTTTGGAAGACGAAAGTTTTCCTTTTGGGTCCCGAACCCTCTTCTCCGGGAGAAGCATGCCGCGCTTGTTCGCCAAACACCACAGGGTTCCCACCATTGTCAAACCAACTACTGAAGTTCAAGCACGTTCACTTGGTTTTTTCTGACAATTTACAATTGTAGGGACACCAACCATTTTAGGGCTATGTTGAGAAACGGCCATTTATGTTTCGCTTCGAAAGAGAAACGGTTGATTATAGTAAGGAGAACAACCTTTGGTATGTTTTTCCCCAACAGCTGAAAGCTTTGGGGGTCTCAGCCCAGATAGGCTCCGGGGTGGTCCAGGGCGGCCATGAGGTAAGTTTCCACCAGCGTTCCACCAGGATTTCACCAGGGCTCCACCAGGGTTCCACCAGGGTTCCACCAGGGTTCCACCAGGGTTCCACCAGGGTTCCACCAGGGTTCCACCAGGGTTCCACCAGGGTTCCACCAGAGTTCCACCAGGGTTCCACCAGGGTTCCACCAGGGTTCCACCAGGGTTCCACCAGGGTTCCACCAGGGGTGCGAGCATCAAAAAGAGCACCGTATGCTGTTGGGGATATCACCTGAGTTTATTTTCAATGGTCATTAGAAAACGAGAGTCACTCACCGAATTCCCCTGTCAAAGGGGCATAGAATGAATGGCGGTGATCGGAGTCATTCAAAAGGCCTTGTCTCCAAACGCTTTTGCGCCTTTTTGGGGGTTCTTCTCAGGTCAGTTTCAAGGGACGCCAAAAGGACTACCAGCTGTTTTGCCCCCCCCCCCCCCCAGTTGTTGAAATTCGAAATGATGGGACCCCCCCCCCCCCAGTTTTTGACACATGCCCAAATGATGGGACCCCTCCTCAAACCACGGGTTTGGTGTCCCAAACGAACTCTTTCACCTCGCGTCTCAAAGCAGAGATCAGCGACTCGACGTGTGGGAAATGAGAGTCTTGAGCATTTCGTCTCATTTCACGGGGCTAGGGTCCGTCCCTCTCCGAATCTTATGGTATCCCATTTTTGGTTGGGATTGTTGGTGAATTCACCACCCATTTAGATAGCCGATTTTTGTGGAGATATTTAGAACCTATTTTTGTGGAGATTGAGATGTAGGTGAATTCACCACTGCTACTTTGCCGTCTTCCGATTGATCGCCAAAATTGCGATCGCTTTTTTCAGCTCACGGTTGCGATCGCTTTTTGGGGTTTGTTGTGCACGGGAAAAAAAAGCAGCAACGGGCGATCCAGGTTGTTGTTGTTTTTTCTTCTTCTTTTTTCTTCTCTCACCTTTGCAGTAGTACCGTGGATTGTGGCGAAATCCGCTTCTCGCGCCACGAAATGAAGCAACGGTTGAAACCATCACGTTCGGTTGGTATTTACATTGCGGAATCGAATCAGAAACCAGGGTTTCTTTGGGGGTGCAGGATTTCGTCCATCCACAGTATTTCACTTCTTGCACAATTAGCAGATACGATTGCGACGATATTCTACAGGAACATAGTGCCCAAATTGTAAAATTGTTGGCATTATGGGGGGTCACATGGTTCCAGAAAGGTTCTGCCTATTTTATGGGTTTTTGAGCTCACCGATCCGGGTAAGACGAGCGATTTCTAGGTCCTTTGCTTGGGATTTCAGGTTTTGGAAGACATGCAACACTTGCAGAAGGTTCACGTCGATTTTCCGATCTTTTGTGCAAGTGAGTTGCTTTTGCACGTTCCGCAAATGGCTCCCCAACTTTCAAGCTAAGCCCCTCATGTTCTGACATGTTACCCTCTTGCTGAGCCCAGATACCCAGGGGTGCCCCGTTGTTCCTTGTTTTTGTTGGAGGGTTTCCATTTAAAACAACTGGCAAAAACAGGGAGTGCCGTTTTTGCCCCGTGGCCACTGCTGGGGGCGGGATGGGGGCGGAAGTGGGTTTTTCGAATTCGGATAGCTTTGTCTTTTGCTTTGGATTCCTGAGGTGGCTGGTGCTAGGCCGGGCGGGACGGAGGGAGGTTGGGGTGTGGGCTTTGCTTTCAAAGAGGGCAGGGGGGGGGCTCCCAAGCAGTCGACTTTCCCTAAGGTGCCGGTTTTTCCCTTTCTGCCAACGTCGGCCAAGAGAACCAACCCAACATATTACCTGCGTTCCGCTCCCTCCTCCAAATCAAACCAATCAGCCAGGTCGGGCCTGAAAAGAGCTCTATAAAACGGGTCTGACAAGGGGAAGGCTCTGGCAAAGCTGCGGCATTCCAGACCAGACCCAACAGAAATCCTCCTGTACCCTCAATTTCCCGTATTTGGGGTTTACAGTAGAACTGCAGGGAGCCAGTTCAGCTTCCCCACTGAGAAAAGCCGCCGTGACCGCATTTGAGCTTCTTTTTGGGGTGCATTTGTTGACCACGGCTCATATGGGTTCAAGCGTAGAGGGGGGGGTTGGTTCAGTCTCGAGCAAACTGTGGGCAACACATTTCAAAGCATCCCATTGAAGCAAACCTATTCAGGAAATTTCAAGAGCCACAGATGATCCTTGAATACGGCCTCACGGTAGATTCCCTAAATGTGTTGCGCGTTTTGAAGGGACGTGTGGCAACGGGACCCACATATCATTTCAACCCTCTGCCCTGAGCCCGGTTCGGTATTTGACCCACGGGTCCCTTTGTTTCCACTGACCAGGCAGGAAGGATAACTTTTTTCTGGGGTCCTAACTTCAGCCTAGTTCCAAAGTATCCAGCCCCTTTCAATTCCGTCGCCAGGGCTGGTCCCAGCATGGCAGGGGGCCTCGAATGGATGGCCTTTCCTTGCTGGTGCTCAGTAGGGAATGACCCAGCGTGTCGGGAAGGAACCGAAAGGGGGTTCCCCTCAAAGGAAACCACAGGGACGGTTTATAGGGCAACAGCTGTCAGATTGCTCCCGGCACATCCTAGCTCCACCACGGGACAATTCTGGCTTCGAGGTGGAGAGAGTCAGACAATCTGCGTCACCATGGTCGATTCCCGAAAAAGATATGGCCGTTAGTTTCTTACTGGCGACCCCCTCAGCTCAACAGTTGGTGGACATACATCCCGAACGACCAAAATTGAACTTGTACCCATGGTTCTCTCCTGTTCTGCGGAAAAATTGCCACTTTTGGCTTCACGTCCAAAAGATCCAAAAGGGGGAGGGCTAGGTCCCCCAGTAGTGCCCTTTTGCCCTTTTAGGGTTCCCCTACTAAAATAGACTACAGAAAAAACAATAGGGTGCCCTTACTCTAACCTCTCTACTGGAGGACCTAGAGGGGGTCCTTCTGACTTTTGAGGCCCCATGGGCCACTGCGAGTCGGCCATGGGGCGAGAATTCCGCAGGTCGTTGGCTGCTGTTGGGGATTTTTGGGCGCAGGGTTCCACTTTTTGACTACAAGGACTTCAACCAACCCAGGAATCGAATCTCCCTTAGAAGGAAATTAAGCACTGGCTTCAAGTCTACCTTGGGGTAGTCAAAAAGTGGCACTTGAAACGGGACGCTTTTCTGGACTGCCCGTGGAGCTTTTGACTGAAACCGCGGTGAAACCCTGCCAGACTTCGCTCACCTTCAACGGGGCTTCCTTCATTTTCCCTTTCCGCTGGGTTGATCATTTTCCCACTTTCCTCCCACACAAAAAGTGGGACCCACTTTTTGCGTGTGGGACCCACTTTTTGCGCTCCTGTCCACGTTTCAGAGGGTCTAAGGTCAGGAAATCGAAATGTGAGGTGCGAGGTGCTGCACCTGCAGAGCTCCCCGCCCCGGGATCTGGAGGAGACGCGATTCGGGATAGCCGATGTTGGTACGACTTGGATTTTGACCCATGGCCATTTGGGGGGAACACGAAGGGAAAGCTCGCCCTCCGGTTCCTTAGCTCTTGAGCTTTTCAGGGTTTCGCGGGGGTTTCCGAAGTAAGCCCAGCCAAATGGTTATTTTTTTTGCCAGGGGATCTGGACAGCCCAGAGGGGTGTTTTTTTTTTTTCTTCTTTTTTTTCTTTTTTTTTTTTTTTAATTTTTGTTCAAAGAAAGGTCATCTAGCTGGTGGGTGGTTGGAAGGGAGCCAGAAACCCGCCGGATGCGGGCGCCGTTTGGGGCGCCGTTTGGAGCTAGTTCCGGTCGGGGCGCAACTGTTTTTCAGGAGCGCCTGGGGGCCGATTCCGGGAGACCCAACAGGATTGTTTAAACTGGCGGCAATTTGAACACCCCAGTAACCTTCCATTTGCTTATAAGTTAACTTATAAGAGTATTTGTTGGTTTCCCCTGTTGAAAAGTTGGAATCGATTTCACCACTGCATTTGTTTCCTCATCATTCCGGTCGGAAAGCCGAATGGAAGTAACAAGGCGTGAATTCATCAGGGCTTCACCAAAACTCGAAACCAGCTTCCTTTAGTTTGGAGATGCTTTGTAGTTAGGGTTGAGAATGGTGTAATGCTGCTCCCAACATGACCCTGATACGACTGCAACTAGGGTTGACATGGATTCCGCGAGTTTAGTGTTGGATTAGTACTGGCTGATTCTTATTCATTTATAGGATTTATAGGGTTCATCTATTAATAGTATAGGGGGATCGGATTAATCTAGCGCAACTGCAAAAAGGGATACCCCCCACAACAGATAAACCCACTTTCGAGCGACACTCTCAAAAAACATCAGAAGCGGACTTCCATTTTTCTCGTTTGTAGCTGCAGATGGACATGGGTTCGCTCTCGACTACAACACCCCCCTTACCAACATCCAAACCCCAAAAAGGGTATTCCCATTTCGTGACAAAAGAAGCATCAGACACGGAGTGCCATTTCGTCCTTTGAACACGGACCTCCTTTTTGGTAGGCGTTGAAGGTATGTCGTGCTACACCAGCCATTTGTGGGATCCCTTGCTACACTCCCTTCTGCAAGTCATATCACTTTAAGCGCGAATTCCCTTTGAACCACCATGCAGAGCTTGCGTTTGTACCAAAACGGGCCCCTTCAAAAGAGGGTGGAAGGGCGGGTGGACTGCTGCAGGGGTGGATGGTGCAAACGGTCGGGCGGAAGGGGTATTTTCCCCAAATCAGGGGCCGCTATTGTCAAACCCCGCAGCTATGAATCCCCCCCTGGAAGAAGGGAATGCCCACTAAACAGGGGGGAACCCCCCCGAATAACAAGTGGGCGTGAATGAATCACTTGGTGGCTCCAGCCATCCGGTGCCTTAGCCTTTTGGCTTTTTAGTTAGCTTAGTGGTAGATTCCGAGTTCAACCCACGAAAAGTTGGTCAAACTCTTCGCGGGGGATCTGAAAACCTGGCATCCCAGATCTGTGTCTTTATTGAAACACATTTGAAGTTTGGGAATTATCTAGCTGGTGGTGGTGGTGGTTGGAAGGGAGCCAGAAACCGCTTGACCGGATCACAAGAAGGGTGAATTTCAACCCCCCGAGATATGAATCCCCCCCCTGGAAGAAGGGAATTCCGACTAAGAAAGGACCCCCCCCCCCAATAAAATGACACGTGGGGTGGATTTTCATTTGCTTGGACTTTCTTCTTCCATTCTTCCGGTTGAAAAACTCCAAATAAAAAGTAGCAAGGTGGGCGTGAATGAATTCATTCGGGGCGTGGCCCACTCGAAGATTCCGCCAGGCGGCCGTGGCCAACTGGAACCTGGCGCTGGAGGACGCGGGGGCGCCGCCCTTCGCCGGCGAGCTGCGCCACACGGCGCCGAATATGGCGGGGGCCGGCGGCCTCCCCCCGCCGGACTTTTGGCCCCGGAAATGCGGTGGATGGACGCGAAATCCGCTTCTCGCACCACGAAATGAAACCATAGGAAACCTTAACGTTTGTTGGTATTTACGTCGGGGAATCGAATCATCATTCCAGGGCTTCTTAGGTGGTGCAGGATTTCGTCCATCCACAGTATGGCGGTGGTTTGGTCAAGACCGGTTTTGGGTGGATCCCGTTTTTGGGTGGGATTGGTGAAGTCTCACCACCCATTTTAGCCGATTTTGGTTGGATTGGTTGATGTTCGGGATTTTGAGCCATGGCCAGATGTGGGTGTGCAAACAAAGATGTGGGTGTGGCTCAAAATGAAACGATCGGAGGGGCAAACCGCAGGTTTTGGTCCATGTTTCCACTTACCAGGGCAGCCCATTTTGGAATTCCGGCTTTTTGAGCCACAGCCATGTGGAGCACCCCGGCATTGAACTCTGAATCACCACAGACTTCCTGAGGTCAATGGAGTTCGCCTTCCCCAAAGCCTGGGGGATTTGGGCCATGGCGGGCTGTACGCCTGCGGGAGTTTGGTGGGCATGTGTCACTGGAAGTGTTAGGGATCTAAGAACAGGTCTGCAAAAAAGCTTGGTTTCCCCTCTCATCCAAAGAAGCCACGGCTCATGTTTGACTTCAGTTGCGTTTCTTTTCATATCCCAGAAGGGTTTAGTTGACGGGCTTCTATTGGGTTGTCTCCCTCGAGACCTGCCACTTCTCCGCTGTCTCCCCCAGAAATCGCACCTCTCACCTGCTTTCGCCTCGGCTTCCGTCGAAACGTGGGTTGATCCTTCCTAGGTCCCCCCAGTAGTGCCCTTCCTCACCCCTTTTTTGGGGGAGGGTTCCCCTACTAAAATAGACTACAGAAAAAGCAGTTGGTACCCTTATTCTAACCTCTCTACTGGAGGACCTAGTTTCTTCTGTCACACATCTAACCGAAGCAACTGCCAAACCTTCAGCAACGAGAGGTCAGCATTCCTCCGAGCTTTTTTACAGATGACCAAACCAAATTGGGCAAGACATGTTCGGGTTTCTTGTCGCGTCTCTCAGGGCCGAAGTTCTACTCTTGTGCGTTGTCTTTGGAGCAACCTTGTGGGTGTTTCCTGAGATAGGACTTTGGGGGGGGGGTCCTTGTTTGCAGCCACCCATTCTTAACTAGCAAAGCGGGTGTTTCCAACAACAGGACTCTGACTCCAGCAAATATGAACATGCGTCTAGCGGTCTCTGGCGATGTGACTCCAAGATAAATGGATCCCGCGAAAAAGCAATATGGAAAAGAACACATGGACACAACAATTCGGGGACACCACCCAATTCCAGAAAGAACAACACAACAGAACCAGACACAACAGAGCATCACAAAAAAAAAGAAGATATCAACAACAACATCAACCAAAAAAGAAACGACCAAAAAGATCACAACAAAAAGACCGCACCAGCAACGACGACAGAAGACCAGAAAAGGCCGCGCTCCACCCGCCGCGCTCCACCCGCATCGCGCTCACCGCTCTCCGCTCGAGCCGAGGCTTCCGGCCCGAGGACCCCGGCGGGTGCCGGGCGAGGCCGCTGGAGGGAGCCTTGGCCGGGGCCACAGAACGGCCGGGCCGCAGGGGGCGAGCGGCGAGCGAAAGGAGGACAAGTTGGGATGTTTGAACCCTGTCACAGGCATTTTTTTTTTTTTTAACACCCAACACATGTGTTTTCTTCTTCTTTTTGATAATGACAACCCAAGCCCAGCCCAACCTAGTGTGACATTTCATGTTCCCGATTAAAGGAAACGCAAGGGGATCATTTTCCCGATTGCAGGAAACCAAAGGGGATGGTTTACATTTCTTTTCGGAGTGATTGAAAGGGGAACCGAACCTTGGTGCTCAGTAAGGAATGACCGAGACCGGGGGTTGGGAATGAACGGTGTTGAATGAAAACCCAAACCCAACCCAATGGGTTATATATATATATATATAATTATTCTTAGGTCAGTTTGTAGAAGGTTTTTGGCTCAAGAAAATAGCGCGTGCTGTACCTGTGCATAGGTGTTTCTTGCCTGTCAATAGGTTGGAAGATGGGTTCCACTGGTTTCAGTTTTCCAAGCATTTATCAGTGCCATCTATTTGTCCAAAAGGACACCTATGACACCAACGAAAAGAGCGACCGATATGCCCAGACACACATGAACCACCACAAAAGAAGTGCCCTTTTTTCTCATAGGTAATGAATGGGTGTCTGGGATGAGCTACGGTCAATATTTGCTGTTATCCACCGAATTTCATGGGGAACACTGACCACAATGCCACTAGGAAATGGGTTGACTCACCAGAATCCGAGGTCAATTGGCGGCACAACGATATACGGCTCATACAATTGACTAAGACATAACTGGTGTCCTGCAACCCCCCCCCCCCCCCAATTTCAGTTTGGTCTTCACCAATTAGCTCCCCTTTTTGCTTTTTTGATCTTTTTTTTGGGATTCCCTTTGTTTTCCACTAACCAGGCAAAAAAAGATCTCATTCTTTTGCCGGGGTCCTCTTTTTCCAGCCAAGTGGTGAGCTCCACTAACCTAGCTTCGGCCCAGGCTTGCAGGCTTCGATCAATCCCGAAAAGGCGAAAATTCGAAGGTCCAAGTTCGGTAGGCAAAACGGAGCGCTCAAAATCGCATGGGTTTGTTGGCCACAATTGCGAGCTCTGGGGGTTTATTGCTGCGACCAGGTCAGTCCTTGACTGAGGGGCTCGTTCCCTTGTTTCGGGTTTTGCAACAGTTGTAGAGTTTGCAGAGGATCATGACTCAAAATCCACTGCGTTGCTTGTTGGCACGTGCGCAGAACCATCTCCGACCATTCTGCGTTCACAGGGGCTGCCACTTTGAAACCTGCCCTTCGGATGTTGTTTTTTTTTTTTTTTTAGGTATTAAAGTTTTCGAATGGGTAATGGCAACAGGACTAGTCAACTCCTCGTTTTGATTCTGAATGCGCTTTTGGGGTCCCATCCACTCGTTTGGAAGTGAGCTATTTATCCGCAAGGTTTCAAAATAGGGGCAAAATAATTGCTAATGGTTTACCCCCTATAAATCAAGACCATATTTGGCTGTGACTCAAGAAGTGGTACCAATTTTCGGGCCCCTTGGATGGAGACAAAAAGACCAACATTTGCGGTACCCCCCAGCTCTTTCAATTTTGAGCCACAATCCCAACCATAAGTAGCTGCGGAATTCCGCCTTCTTAATTCTTTACATGGTTCTGGGTAGACCATTTTAATACTGTGGATGGACCAAATCCTGCACCACCCAAGAAACAATGGGGAGCCATCTGTTGGTATTTACGTTGGGGAATCGACTCATTCAGGTTTCTGAACGGCGGTGCGAGTCCTGGATTTCGCAACCAATGGATTTCCGGGTTCTGGGCCTGGACCATTTTCATACAAAGGGTTTTGAGCAAGTGGCTCATTTGGTGTTGAAGTCGCCCAACTGCCAACCCCTTCCGAAGGTCGTCCAAATGCACGGCAAAGGCGGCTTGTTTGTGTTTGCGCCTCTCGAGCGAGCGAGCCCCTGGAGCCAGGCCCAAGGGGAGGGGGAGCGGTCGGAGCGATTCCATTGGGCAGCTTTGGATTGCTCGGGTCTCCATGGGTCCATGGTTGGCGACTACCTTTTTTTTCTCAAAAAAGAGAGAGAAAAAAAACACAGAATGTTTGACTCATGTCAGTTTTTGTTCTTTCTTTTTCTTTTCCTTTTTACATTATCTGTTTTTCTCCGAAAATTCACGGAACGTTTGGCTTTTTTTCAGAATCCGAAAGTCACAGTTTTAGTGCACCCCCAGAGTTGGGTGAGACGAAGACTTGGGTTTGCCTTTGAAGGGAAGCAACCCCAGCAAGACTGCCGAGCCTCACACACCGACGCACCTGTCAAAGCCTTGCGCGTCGCGCTTCGGGACTTTGAACTTGAGAGTCACAACTTGTTCACCAAATATGGACCAGACATATGGTCCAAACATGTGGACCAAGATGGAGCAAACAGATGGACCAGGGCCAACATGAGTTTTTCGGTTGTTGCAGGATCTTTTTCTTAGACCACTCCCCAGGATTCCCGGGAGCCAAAAAAACGTCCCTTCCGTTCATATTTCATTTATCATTCCCTCTCTACATACTATAATATATGTGTATATATATTATATTATATATACACTATATGTATATACATATATATATATATAGAGGTGCATTTTCCACGTCATTGTTTTTGTCCGGTCAGCCCTCCCCACGTATGAGACCACATTTTCCTTCCCGGCCGGCGAAAAAACACCCGGCCGGGCTCGTGGCCGACCGGCCGGGCCGCCATGGGTGTGGCGACAGAGGAGCTGCTGAGGCGCTTGGAGCGCTTGGAGCGATTGGTGGAGGACGGGGGCCCAAACTCCTGAGACTTCCCTCGGCTGAGACTTCCATCACCTTTGAGTTTTCCAAGCGCCCTGGTGCTTGGGGAACCTATTGACTTTGGTTACCATGGTTATCAAGGCGTATATATACAAGCCTTACTATAGAGCCCACGAAGCCAAGCGGAACCATCTCCTTTGTCCACGAAACCTGAAGCGTATGAGAGTTCAGCTGTCCGAACCGAATGGACCTTTGGATTTTCCCTTTTCAGAGTACGCTCAGCCATTTGGCTGTGGCTCAGAAACATGAAGCCCAAAATGACACCTTGGCAAATGGAACCAAAAGACCAAAACCTGCGGCTTGCCCTAGCTCTTTCATTTTGAGCCACACCCATTGTCAGCTTTCCCTTGAACCATGTTATCCCCGGCAGTGTGACCAAAATCAACTCAGATGGCTAACCCACTTAGTAGGCTATATGGTTGGAACTTGGCAGGGGTTAGTTTGCTTACAAGGCTTGCCTACTTCTCGAGTGGGTTTACGCTTTTGGGTGTGCCTTTTCGCGTTCGTCAATGCCTCTTAGATAGCCTGGGAGATAGCGACATGGTCAACAACCCTGGTTGCAACTCTCTTACCATGGTTGTATGTCCCCTACAACCAGGGCTACTGACCATTTAGCAAAGTCCCAGACAACCTAAGAAGCGAGCGGGAAAGCCATCATTTAGGCCGTTGCCGCTGTCCCGGAAGGGTGTCCATTAATTCCAGGCAAAGAAATTCACCGGGCTTCTGCATAGGAGTTCCTATATGTCAGGACGCGCCGCGCATGAAAACCGTGGTGGGGGGGGTACTAATACCCTTTTCTGGGTCTGCTTCAGTGGGAAAGCGGCGGGCATCTTCCGATTTGTGAGGATTTGGGGCCCCGGAAATTTCCTCCGAGAAGTTGGACACCGTCCGCAGGCAAATTCTTCGCTTCGGCAGGACCACGGGAAGCGCCTAGATGAGCTGGCGCCTTCCAAAGGCGGAATTTGGTTTCGTGGGGGGGGGGGCGAACTGGGGGTGGGGGCTATGCCTTATCAACCCAGTAAGGACTTGTTAAGGGCTTATCCTAGGCTCATTCAGGGATAGCCCCCCCCCCCCCATAGTTTTTCTCGGAGGTTCAGGTATTTCCTGGATTGCTGAAGCCCCGCAAAAGCAAACTCCCTTTGAAACGCCGAAATGCAGTAGACCCTCTAATTGGTGGTTTGGATATGGATTTGAACCTCTGGCCTAGTGACGAAAAGGGGAAGCCTCCCGGTTCACCCCCAACCAACCAGCAACCACCAATTCGAAGTTGAGCTTTCGTTAGGACCAAATTTACCGCAAAGCACCCGAGTCACAATCCACACCCAGGCAATTGGAGGGTAAGGGACAATCCCAGCCATAAATGGGTGCAGGCGCCTTTTTAATTCTTGACATGGTTCTGGGAGAGCATCTGAATGCCGGGTCTTGATTGTGACTCATTTGTTGTCTTATTTAAAGTATGTCATCTGATTGACAGTTCCTACATTGTGCTGTGTTGGTTGATTCTCCACGTTTTGATTGTGACTCACCTGAAGATCAACTGCCCATGAGTTGACGAGGCCGCCGCCCCGGCGCCGGCGCCAGCGCCGGCGCGCGCCGTGACGGGCCGACCGTCCTGACGGCGCCCCGCGGGCGGCGTCGCCGGCGCGCAGCCCGGGCGCCGCGGCGCTGCCGCGGGTGGCGGTGCCGCCGAACCAGGCGCGAGGCTTCGGGGCGCCTCGGCGAGGACTGAGGGCCGACGTCGGAATGGAGTGGGGGTATTGAACCAGATGTTTCAAAGACACCCCCTGATAGGTTCCATATTAGTGGAGCGGTTCCATGTTGATGTCACCAAAACTCCAATTTAGCTGTTTGTGTGCAAGTATTGATACTGTGGGTGGACGAAATCCTGCACCACCGTTCAGAAACCCTGAATGATAATTCCCTCGCAAATGCCCACAAACCATGTTTCCCATGGCTTCAAACTGGCGCAGATTTCCTCCATCCACATAAAACAGCCCATGTTTCTTGAGGTAAGTTTTTAGGAACCATTCTATGAATGTACCTCGTGATTACTTTGTCAGCACTATATATGTATATAATATACATATATTTTGTGCTGACAAAGTAATCATGAGGTATAGTTTGGTTTGATAGTACACATGAGGCTATTTGGAATAGTGCCCACCCATTCCGGTTATTTGGGTTCGTTTGTTGCGTTCAGACATGGTTTTTATGCCCGTGGCATCGATCCGATCCGAGGTCTACGTGTGCGGAGGCCACGCCTCCGGCACCACGCTGGGGATGGCGAACCGCCTGGATGTGGCCACTCCGCCGGGATTTCTCCGATCTGCTTGGCTGTGGGTGTCAAAACCGTTTTGGTTGATCCCATTTTGGGGTGGGTGAATTCACCACCCATTTTAGATAGCCCATTTTAGTGGTTGGATTGAATCGTTGAATGTTCACTGGGGCAGAACTGATTTGGATGTTGAAAAGCCCATGGCGACTTGGGTGCCCTTTTTGGGGAAGTCAGCAGATCTGAACTCTCGGCCGTGCCCAGACCTCCCACGACCCCCGCGCTGCGCGCGCTACGCGCGCTACGATCGAGGCCTCGGGCAGCTGGGAGGTGATGCCTCCCATGCCCACGCCGCGGCACGGCTGCGCGGCGGCGGCCGTGGTGGGGGTGATCTACGTGCTTGGGGGCTCCAACGCCGCTCGGGGCTGGGGGCTGGGGGGCTGGGGGGCTGGGGGGCTGGGGGGCTGGGGGGCTGGGGGGCTGGGGGGCTGGGGGGCTGGGGGGCTGGGGGGCTGGGGGGTGGGGGGTGGGGGCTGGGGGGCTGGGGGGCTGGGGGGCTGGGGGGCTGGGGGGCTGGGGGGCTGGGGGGCTGGGGGGCTGGGGGGCTGGGGGGCTGGGGGGCTGGGGGGCTGGGGGGCTGGGGGGCTGGGGACGGCGTTTTCAGCAGCAGCGGGCACCAAAAGCACCGAAACCGATATGTGTGTGTGCTTCTTTTTTTCCTCCCAAGAAGGCGGGCCAGTTTGTGTGTCTTTTCTTTTTCTCCAAAAAGGGGGGGGCAGACTTTTTGAGTAGGCTCAATCAGCGGAATCCGGTTCAAGAGAAGGCTTTTTCGGGCTTTTGACTTGGTTGAGTGTGTTTTTCGGTCTCCGAATTTCAGCCGCTGAGAGTTAAAAACAACTTTTAGCAGGGGATCCGAGCGCAGGCCAGTTTAGTAGGTGCCCGTTTTTGCGGTGGTCGCATGGCCGATATGCAGATGACCATATAAACACCAGGAGTTCTTCGGGAGGTAGCTTTTCCTCTGCAAAGCTGCGGCTTTCGTTTTTTTTTTTCCCCAGATAGCTGAAAGCTATAGGGGTTCTAACTTCTAATAAAGAGGGGGAAGTGATTTGCGAGATTGATGGGCTGGTGCTAAGGGGCGTGCAGTTTGGGGTGCTGGTTTTTGCGCTGATGGCAGTGTGGGCGCATCTTTTCAAGATTGACGGTAGGGTGCTAGGGGGCATGCAGTTTGGGGGTGCTGGTGCAGGTGCTGTTTTGGGGGTGACGGTGCACGCGTGTTTTTGCATCTTGACGGTAGGGTGCACGGGGGCATGCAGTTTGGGGTGCTGGTGCTGGTGGTGTTTTGGGATGCTGTTTGGGGAGGTGTTTGAGGTGCTGGTGACGGTGCGGGCGAAATTTGTGATATTGCCCGGGTGCTATCGGTCATGCAGGTGACGGTGCAGGCACATTTTTGCATCTTGACGGTAGGGTGCAAGGGGGCATGCAGCTTGGGGTGCTGGTGCAGGTGGCCTTTTGGGATGCTGTTTGGGGTGCGGCTGGGTGTTTGGGGGGGTGCTGTTTGGGGTGCTCTTAGGGTGACGGTGCAGGCGCATTTTTGCGAGATTGACGGCAGGGTGCAGGGGGCATGCAGTTTGGGGTGCTGCTGCAGGTGCTGTTTTGGGATGCTGTTTGGGGTGCTGTTGGAGGTGCTAGTGATGGCGCGGGTGCTCGATTGACGGCCGGGTGCTGTTTGGGACGCTCTTCGGGGGGTGCTGTTGGAGGTGCTGGTGTGGAATCATTGCTATCTGGGGTCTATGCTGGTGTAATTTTTTTTCCGCTTCTTCTTTTTGTCAGTCGCCGTCTTTTTTTTTCTGGACAACACAT